ATTATGAAATTTTTAAGATTAAATTGTCATTATTATTATGTTAATTTTATTACTTTTAATAATATAATTATTTATTACGTCATCCGGTTCGACCCCAATTCGATCGGTCGAATCATGAACCTCTCTGTGTTCCGGTTGTTATTCGGTTTGATTTTCACAACCTTGAATTTGAGCGTGTATAAAATTAAAATAATTTTATTTTATTAATTAAAAATTAAAATAATGTCAATTAATTCAAAATTTTAATTTCTATTAATTTAATTGATAAATATTTAATTTTAATTATTAATTAAATAAAAATATATAAATGAAATATTATTATAAATTTAAAAATTAATTAATTAATTACTAAATAAAAGTTAAATAAGATCAAATCATATGAGAGGTATAAAAGTAAACACTTTTAAATTATAATAATTAAGTTAGAGATATAAAAGTAATGAAGATAGAGGTATTTTTAATAATAATTTAATTATAATATTTTAAATTATATTAATTAAGTTAAATAAGATTAATTTCTTGAAATAGGTTAGAGGCCTCTAGGTTTGGTTTTCACTTTATATATTTCGTCGCTTGTGAGAGTTTATGACGGGTCGCTTCTTTGGCTCCTTCGTTGCTGTTCGACTTCGCCAATCGCTCCTTCGGCGACCCTCTCCTGTCGGAACGGCAGTCACGACATTTTAATCGGAAGCAACTAGGGGAGCTCGCTTGCTGTGAAGGTAACTATCTTTCTCACTTTCGTGCCCTACTTCGGCCAAATCCCATAAATACGCGAAATTTCAGGATTTGTTAAATCCGGGATTTACGGTCCAAAGGGGGAGACGGAGGATTTGTTCGGCCGTGGACTTAGCGGGTGGCAGGATTTGGCATAAACCCTTCTCAAAATCGGCTTAAATGCTGTTAAATCCTGCATCCAAACAGCACTAAAAGTCATAGCTACATAAAACTATGTTTTTGTGTTGTGGGGATGCCAACCTTCTTCTATGCTATTCTTTTTTGTTAGCTTTATATAGTGAAATTGCCTAATTGAATGATTATACTAGTCGTATAATTGGAAGCCTATCCGATTACTGCGTGAAATTGTTGTTGCTGTCATTGCCTAAACCAAGAATGTTTGGTTTATTGATATTGTCTGTAAGGCTTTGTAAGCATTTGGAGACCTGTGAAGTTGTAAGTTGCTAAATTATATAATTTTGTATACTTGATACTCTAAAATGTTAGCAAGTTACCTTTCTCTGTGGTAACCCTCAACTACGAATCCCGTAACATCTGTGAGGCTATTTATTCGCTAAATAGGATAAAGTAGATTGTCTGCAAACTTATAAGATCTCTAATTTACAGATGTTATTAATGGATCTAGGGGATTAAAATTTAGCAAATGCACTGCAAAGTTATAAGGTCCTAAACTTAAATTATTTAAACAATTAGATCAATATGTCCAAGAATAGAGGATTCTTAAATTGTCATGTTTGCATTGTTTTTTTTTTAATTAATTAATCTTTGAGGTTGTACTTCTAGTTGTATTAACTTTCTTAAGCATCTAAGCAAAAGTGATTGCCATGAAATGATTTGAATATGATTTTTAAAGTGTCTTTAAAGTCATAATCATTGAAACAGCATATTTCAATTTTATCTTGTGATGTTTTCTTAATTATCTTTAGCTAATTCATGCTATGTATACTTTGTTTAAAGTTTTATTATTTAATTGTAAAAGTTCTTTCTTATAACAAGTAAGATTTGGTTTCCTTTTTTATTTTTCGTTAATAGGCCAACTAACCATGTTTACACACTACAATGCTAACGAAGTGGTTTCAGAGAAAACAATAACTGGCGTGATCTCAATCTCCCACTCCCGAAGTCCCGTGGACTGTTTCCTATGGTGGAAACTGTTGCTTCTGATGTTAATTAACAGAGTGCTTGGATTCGTTAATATGCTAGTTCGTGCTGCTTTTTGGGATAATCGTTCACGAGCAAACTTAATTTGGGGTGCAAACTCGGTTATCTTTGGCTTCATTTTATTTTCGGTGTTCACGTTTGCTGCAATTTTATCAAAGCTTCTGCCACCATTTGATAACAAACTTTTGTCTGCTATTCAGAATGACAGGTAAGTTTTTATTGTTTTGTCAATGCAAAGTAACAAGTCATATATGTATATTTTAGCCAATTTTATCCTTGATAAAATGCTCATAATTTTAGTTGGATTTTTGAGAATCTCGAATTAGTGTTGTGTTGGAAATTTGCAAGTGGTTTTTCGATAATGAACTGAAACTGATTTTTTTTTTCTAGATCCGCTTTTGCGCACTACAGGTAATAAGATTATTTCACAGCGTCATTACTTTATAATAAAAATGAGTTATGTACAAAATTCATGAGTAAGCGATATGTATATTTCTTCTTATAGTTTCATTTTAAATTGAGAAAGCTTTACTTCTCTAAAGAGATGCCAACTGATTTGGTACAGTTAAAAGACTGTTATTAACCTTTTAAGAGTGTCATGTTGTGCCTCGCTTATTTTGAAATGGACAATTTCAACCTGTATATATGGCCTTTTGGAAATATGGGACTTCAATTTTTATTATGAATTCAATTTTTTTTTATCATTGTATTAGTAAAACTGAAGTTAGAGAGGCTTTGAAGAAAATGAAGTGTGGAAAAACTAGTGGACCTTATGATATTCCAATAGAGGTGTAGAAATGCTTAGGAGATAAAGGAATTTCTTGGCTTACTAAACTTTTTAATATTATTTCGAAGACTAAAAAGATGTCAGATGAGTGGAGAATGAGTGTATTGATTCCTATTTTTAAGAATAAAGGTGATGCACAAAATTGTGTGAATTATAAAGGAATTAAGTTGATGTGTCATACTATAAAGCTTTTGGAGAAAGTTATGGAGCATTGGTTACGGCATGATGCTAATGTTTCTCAAAAATCAATTTGGATTCATGCCGAGTAGGTCTACTATGGAAGCTATTCATATATTGAGAGGGTTGATGGAGAAGTTTAGAAAGACTAAGGAGAATCTACATATGATATTTATTTATTTAGAGAAAGCATATGATAAAGTTCCAAGATAAGTGCTATGGAGAGTTCTAGAGAAGAAAGGGGTTAATAATGCTTATATTCAGGTCATTAGGAATATGTACGCAGGAGTTGTTACTTGTGTTCAAACTAGGGGTGCAAACGAGTCGAGTCGAGCTCAAGCTAGGGGGTGTTCGAGTCGAGCTCGACTATCAAAACCCGAGCTCGAGCTCGAGCTCGAACTCGAGTCGAGTTCAAAATATGAGCTCGAGCTCGACTCGAATTCAAGTCGAGCGGCTCGTCGAGCTCCACCTTCGAGCCCGTCATCTCTTCCATCGTCCCGAGTTCTGTCACTCTTCGTCGCATCTGTCATCTCGAGGTCCATTGTCATCCAAAGCTCGTCCTTCGTCGAGCAGAGAGTCGTCGTCCCGAACTCAAAGTCCCATCCAGCGTCAAGAACCGTCATGACGAGCTTGTCCGTAATCTTCCTGAGCTCCGCCGTCATGATCCGTCGCCTGAGCTCTGCCACGACGAGCTCTGCCACCAAGTCGAGATTCGACGAGCTCTGGACGAGCTCTGCCACCAAGATCCATCATCCCGAGCTCATCCATGAACCATCGTTGTCCCGAGTAAAGCCATTGTCGTTCCGAGCTCTAGTCGCGTCCGACGACGTCGTATCGAGCTCGTCCGCCGTCTAGATCCACGCGTGCTCTAAGATTTGGATTTCCCGCTCGCTAGAATTGGATTTCTGCTTGCCATAATTGGATTTCCCGCTCATGAGAATTGGATTTCTGCGTGCGCTGCTGTCGAGCAGCTCGTCGAGCCGACGAGCCGAGTCCGATAAGCTCGAACTCGTGTTCGAGCTCGACTCGCGAGCTCGATAAGGCTGACTCGTCGAGCCCGTTACCGAGTCGAGTTCGAGCCGGCTCGCGAGTCGGCTTGACTCGGTTGCACCCCTAGTTCAAACACAATGTGTTTTGACCAAATATTTTCCTATTTCAGTTGTATTACATCAAAGATCAGCCTTAAGCCATTATATTTTTGCTTTAGTCATGGATGTTCTCACTTGACATTTGCAAGAGGATGCACCTTGGTGTATGATTTTTGCTAATGATATTCTTCTTGTTGATATGACTAGAGAGGGAGTTGAAGGTAAACTCAAATTATGGAGGTCAACCTTAGAGTCTAAAGGTTTTCGTTTGAGTAGATCTAAAGCCGAATACCTTGTGTGTAATTTTAGCAGTAATATATCTAGTGGGGGGTTTGTGACTTTGAGTGATCAAGTCATTAATAAGTGTACTTGTTTTAGATATCTTAGGTCTATTTTTCAGATTGAAGGTGAAATAGATGGGGATATTATTGGTAGAATTCAAGTTGAATAGTTGAAATAGAGGAATGCTTCGGGTTTGTTGTGTGATAGAAAAGTACCACTCAATCTTAAGAGAGTTTTATTAGATGGTGGTGAGACCTGCAATGCTTTATGGTACAAAATGTTGGCCATTAAAAGAGAAGCATAATATTCAGTTAAGTGTTGCTAGGATGAGGGTGATCAAGTGGATGAGTGGACTTACTCTTAGAGACAGGATAAGAAACGAGGATATCTAGGAAAAGGTTGGAGTAGTTCCAGTGACAGATAAGATTAGAGAGAGTCGCCTTAGATGGTTTGGTCTTGTGAAACACCGGCCTTCTAATGACCTTGTTATGAGAGTAGATGTATTAGATTTGACCTATGTTAAAAAAGATAGAGGTAGACCTAAAAAGACTTGGTTAGAAAATATTAGAAATGACCTTTCTTTATTAGGTTTAAATGAGAATTTGACTCTTAACCAGACTCAATGGAGAAAAATGATTCATTTAGCCGACCCCACGTAGTGGGATAAAGACTTGATGTTGTTGTATTGTCAATTTCTTTTTATGGGAGAGAAAAATATTTCTTGTTAGATGTACCAAATTATTTTTTATATTGAGGATAGTAATGGAATTCTACAAAGAAGTGAGCTTTATAACTCATTTGAAGGGGATGAATCTGCAGTCAAACCCATAGCCTCCTTCCCTTTATCTCCACCCACGTTCCTCTTAAACTTAGAACCCTAAATTGGAGGAAGCGTGAATTAAATATCAATAAAAAGAATCGAGTCTTTCATGGATGGACGTTAGAAATAAGATGGTTTTAAGTAGAAATAAGGCAGAGCAAAACTCCCCAAGAGTAATCTATTAATTTAGTTAGAAATGGTTTTCGACTTGAAACATGAAAGCGAAATATGAAAGGAATAGCAAATATTATTGGAGTGTTGGTTGGAGAGGGCTCCTACATGGTTAAGGTTTAGATTTTGTCAGGCGTTACTTAGATCTGATCTGAATTGCCATATATTACTCAGATAGTATTCCTGTAGGATTGGAACTGGATCATTATTTTTGGAAGCTTTAGGATAGCTCATGGATTTTGGATTGTGGGTTGGACTTCAATTCCATTACTAAAATCTTAAATTCACTAATCAAACATATAGATTCTTAATTTATTTTATCTTTTGTACAATTATCAGGCATCGCTATCAATAGGCAATAATGAGTATTGCATTAGCATTGGCAAAGATTATCATTTGCAAGAGGTGGGGTAGTGGGAAAAGCTTGACTGCCATACTTCTGATGCGCTTGGATTGGATGTACTTAGTTCCTACATTGACATGAAACCGACCCAACTTAATTTGGTCCCAGTTTCTTGGGACAAAACCCTACTTGAATCATTAATGAAATCAAATTAGTCCGGTTCAATTTAATTCAGTTTTTAGTTCAAATTATCGTGGCTTGAGTTATTGACAAGCTATGACTTCGTTTGGGGCGGCTTTCTTATTGCTTCTTAAAGCAGCTTTTTAGTATAAAAATAAAAAAAATTGTACTGAGAAGCTGCTTTAAGTAGCAATAATAAAGCCCTCTCAAACAAAGCCTAAGAGGTTTGGCCACTGTTCTTCTCACAATATGGGAAATATAAGGCTGCTGAAGATGAGAACTTCGGGTAATGATAGTTAGGAATTTCTCCCAAGGGCTTTACTGAATAAGGGAGTGGAAGTGGAACTGTGGAAGAAGTCTTCATTCAAGAATACAGAGATAGACTTGTTATTAGTTTTGCAGTTTAATTTTATTTTGATTTACCCGAATGTCAGTACTCCCTTTACCATCCTTCTATAGCCATCATCGACATTTGGGATACAAATTGCTAATAAAAAACTTTCTGTCATTCCCTCATTTCTCTGTAAACTGAACATATACTGGAAGATTGCAACGTATTATAATTCCAAGAAGCATATGTTAATTTTACGGTATTTTGATAGTAAGGACCTTTATGCTGTGTTATTAACTCATCAATGTATATAAGCTCATTTTGTTTGTGTTGTGCAGATATTACTGCTTGTTGGTGCCATTGACTCTGCCTGTAGTCATTGTGGCTGTATATTTTCATTGGCTCGGCATGAAACTATTCAAGCATGCATAAGAGACTCCTGATAAGGTCTAATTTTTCTGATCCCCTGAATACTTTATCAGTTTTATTTGACTATATTTGACATTTTTTTTTCCTGAGCAAGGAATTCATTTCAACTTCAATCATTCTTCCTTTTATGTCAATTTTGATGCATGGATGAGAAGGTTTGTAGGAAAGAATTAATAGGACGAAGTCTCCAATCAATCATTCTTCCTTTTATGTCTCTGGCGAAGGCTCCCATCAACAAAAAAATATATCATTTTGAATATTTCCATATGATGGAGTTAGCGGATTAGATTTGCGACTGACTAATTAAAGACCAATACTTTGAAGAAGTTTTCAAAATTAGATGTAGGATCACTCTTTGTTTCTTCATCTTCAAAGTGATCAATTGTCACAATAAGCTCCTGAATTGGGAGAGATTATTATGTGTGGAGCTCAGACCGGATTACCGTCCAATTTTTGTGAGTGTGTGCAGTAAAAATACAGTTACTGTTCACCAATATGTTTTTGGTGCACACACATAAAAATCGGATGCAGCTTTGATTCTGACTCTGCACGTAATAATCCTCCCGAATTGGAGACCTATTGAGGTCATGAGATTTTTGTTGACTTAATATCTAGTGGGAGAAAGCTAGAAGACATTGGAGGCTTCTTGTTATGATTGGATGACACAATGTGCTCAAATTTTAACATTCTATCAAACCTCAAATGTGCTCGAATTTTAACAATTTTGATATTGTTAAAATCTTCTCAAGGGTGAGCTCATTCTATGCGTAATTTTCTACATAAACTCAGGGCCTTTTGTAATACAATTTCTTTATATTCCTATTTCGCTGATCTTTTCACTTAAGATTTTTAGTATAGTTTGATGTAGGTGCGTAGCCTGATTTTTTATTTATTTTTGGGTATAGGGAAACAAATGGATGATTTTAAAAATATTCTCGTTTTTGTATTTGGCGTTGAGACTGGCATTGGAGATTAAAAAAAACTAAACTTTTGATACAAAAAGAATAAATATAAGGTATTATTGTCTTTGTTAGGAAAAATTATTAGGTCCAGATACCGGACATAGAGATACGTTCAAATATCCATTAAAAATTTGACATGTGGAGTGCACTTTAGTTGCGCTTTTTTGTGCGTTTTACTTGTGCTTTGCCTGAGTTTTAGTTGCACTTTTTGGTGCTCTCGACTTAAAGTTCTCTGGACACATTAAACATATTGAATATCCACGTGTTCACTCCACCTGTTATGATAGCTTTTTTATTGCTATTTAAAACAGTTTTTTTTATAAACAGTTTTTTAGTATAAAAATGTATAGTTTAAAATTCTTGGTAATAAAAAGTTGCTTTAGAAACAGTAAGAAAGATGTCTTAAATGGAGATTCACTTTAGTTATAAAAATAGCTTTTGCTACAAAATTTTCTAAAATAAAAAAAGTAGCAAGAAATGTTAGTCAAATGAAATTATAATTGTTATTTAAAATTAAAGACCATTGCAATGAGATAATTTTTTTTAAAATTAAGGGTTTTGTTGGCAAGACTATCAAGAAGCGAAGTAGTAAAAGTACATAGTTCATCTTAATTTATTAGTTGAGAGTTTAGCTATCAATCAAGAGGTTTTAGATTAGGAATTTATATATATGATGTGTGTATGCGTTTACTTTAGTTGACCTAAATGTCCTAGAAAAAATATTTGGCAAAGAGCTATGCATTTATGTCTCCATTCAATTTAATTAAATGGAAAAATCTAAAACTTTGCGGTTGTCTAATAGCAAAATCTAAAACTTTATTTATTTATAATAATTTTCTCATTTACTAATAAAAATTTTGTTTTTTTAGTCAAGAAAGTCAGCATTTAGCGTCAAAGAATAAGTTGTTAGTAAAATATTAGATATTGAGGGGATTTTTTTTTTCTATCTGAAGAAAACACCTAACATGATTGACTCCAATATAGTATTAATATGCGACGCCTCATAATTGAATAGCTTAAACCTTACACATGCACTTATTTGTCCATTATTTTTTAATCAAGTTACCTAAGCTTGCCTCTCAATATTTCCAATAAAAAAAAATGCAAAATTCTCTCCTGAAAGCGGGGTCCATAGTCTAAAAATTTTAGAAAAAGTTTGTGCATCTTATATGACCAAATTCAAAAATAAATCTCCCAATAGCCAACCGATTAATCGCAAGGGATCAATTTAGCATTTTAGAGTATTATATTGCCCTAATTTAATCCATCATTTATATAAAATTGATATAAAATTGATCCAAATTTTATTTTTAACATTATAAAATTGGTTTCAATACAGTCCCAAAAAAATTATTTTGGATCAATTTAATATAGTTGTGAAATTAAATTAAGCAACATTATACTTTAAAATTAAAATAGTCATATAAGAATAATTCCGTGACTATGGCTATTTTGAAATTTAAACCTATCTAAATTGTTTGTCACCATGAAATTAAAATTTTTTTTAATAAATATGATAATAAACCCATTTTTTCTAAGTGAGGAGAGCAACAAACTCTTGTCTTATATTTATATAGTGAATTATTTTATGTTATTAGACCTCGTGATTTTTTTCTTTATTTTTTTATTATCATTAATTTTCTAGCACTCAGTAATAATATAAATTATTGATATTTTATCTTTATTTTTTTTAATATTAAAATATCATTTTTCCCTTTTTTTTAAAAAAAAAAAAGAATTTCAATTTCAAAAAGTCACTCTCAATAGTATCGTTTCCGTAAAGTTGAAAGCCACTTCTCATAATAAATAACAGTTACTCTAATTCAGTAATTAGAAAATCAGAAATCGGGAACGCACCAACTACTCTGCCACCCTCCCCGTTCCCATTTAAATCCGGCAGCCCCAATCCCCTTCTCTTCTTCCTCAATCAGAAAACCCTAATCTCCTCACTCCCCTCCTTCCGCCTTCGCCCCGCCAAATTACTGAAATCCGGCGACGCGCGTTAAGACCCCCAATGGCGATCCACGCGAAGAAAGAGTCCGATGTGACGAGCCTAGCAACCTCATCGCCGCCGCAGTCTCCCCGGCGGCCCACCTATTACGTGATGAGTCCAATCAACCTGGACGCAGAGAAGATGTCGGGGAACGAGCTTAGTCCCAACGAGTCCCCGATCCATCCCAGCCATCAAAGGTATGCGAGCTCACCGTTGTACTATTCTCGCGAGTTCTCTACCGCACGCTTCTCTGCATCGCATAAGACTGGGTACTGGAGGAGGGTTCCACAAGATATGCAGTTCCATGGTGGAGAAGGCTTCGAGGAGGAAGAGGAGGAGGAGAGCCGGAGATGGGGAATTCGCTGCTATGCTTTCTTGTTTGTGATCGGATTTTTATTGATCTTCTCTCTGTTTTCGATCATTCTTTGGGGCGCCAGCAAAGCGCATGAACCAAAAATCACCGTGAAGGTTTTTCTTCGCACCCCTTTTTTATTTCTTAATTTCTTAACAAATTTTCATTTTTTTTATTTGAGATAAATTTTTTAACACAAATATATGCATATATGAACATATAAATATATGATTTTAATTAGAATACAGCTTGACTGTAATAATATTTAAGCATATTTTTAAAATTCTTCATATTACAATAAGGCATGGGGAGAAATTATTCCGTGCGGACCCCGGACGAAGTCCGGATACTAACCAGAATATGGCACGTTATTTTTTTCTTGGTATTGGTGCTTGGTACCGCTGTGTACTGGGTGACATGACTCGTTCTGATTGGCTTCCGAATATGATGGACTTCTTGAATCTTTTTTTTTATCTATTTTATCCTATTTTAGAGTCAATTTTTTATTTAAATATAATAAAAAAATCATTTAGTGTTGAGAATAGTACAACCACAACAACAACAAAAAAGAACAATATCAGGATTTTATCCTAATATTTGGATCAACTACATGAATCATTTTCTTTATTGCATCGGCTACATAAATTTATTTTATAATTGAATCTCAAAAATATGATATTTTTTTGTTATTGATGAAAAATAAAATAAAAAAATTGCAGAACGTGGTTTTCCACAGCTTCGACATTCAAGCAGGGATAGACCTAACCGGGGTTCCCACCGAGATGATGTCCGTCAATTCAACAGTCAATATGAGGTTTCAAAATCCCGCTGCATTTTTCGGCGTCTATGTGTCATCCACATCAATGTATCTTTACTATTTCGATCTCATGGTTGCGTCCGGCCACGTAAGCCTTTTCGCCATTGTCATTCGTCAAGGTTGGATTTGAACCTTAATGATCTGACTAATTTGTATAACCAATAAATCTTACTAATTATTTAAAAAAAATTTGAGTAAAGTTATCTAAAGATAAAATTTTAACATATTTATTTTTCTAGAATTTCATTTTAGCATAAATATTATATAAAAATATATTTATAATAATTTTAAAACTAAAGAAATAAAGAATAATTTTATTGCACATTAAAAAATTATATAAGATCAAGGGGGAATAATTGAAAGGATAAAATCTCGCCATTTGGTGGCGAATTTATTACTGAACATCCCCCCTTCTTTTGCATTTAGGTGGCGAAATTTTAAACATGGAGTAATTTCTCCCCTTTAATGCAGATGGAAGAGTTCTACTCGTCGCAGAAGAATCAGCGTTTGGTTAGGACGGCGGTGGTCGGAACGCAGGTGCCGCTTTACGGCGCCGGCGTTGGCCTCACAAGGCACAACGCCGGCGATCCGGAGGCGACGATACCTTTCAATCTCTCATTCGTTGTGCGTTCCCGCGCTAATGTTCTGGGTAAGCTAGTCCGGTCCAAGTTCGACCGCCGGATTCGCTGCTCGGTTTACTTGCATGAGTCGAGGCTCGGCCGGCCGGTCGACCTCGGCCGCGCCTGCCAGTACGAATGACAGTGGAAGAACGAGTATGTTAAAGTAGTAAAGCAGCGACTCTAATGGAGTTTATTAATGAAGTTACTGTTTTGACCTTATATCATTTATTTATATTTTTTTTTCAGGTTGATTATTTAAATTATGTAAATTTTTAATGAAATTTAAGCCCAATTGATTATTATCAGTACATTTGAGTTTTGTAAAAATACATGGTGATGGGGCTATTTTTTTCAATTATATAATTTTTTTTTCTATTTAAATGGTTGTTTTATTTTAAATTTTCATGTATTAAAATGAATATTTTATTTATAGAAATGGGAAATTTTTTTTTAAATATATTATAAATTATTTCTCATTTGCTTCCGCCATCAACCACCTCCTTGCCGTCACGAGCCGTTGCAGCCAGTATAATTAGCCATGGCAGCAGTCATAACTAGTCAGTGCTTGCAACCGCAACTAGTTACATTGTTTGCCACCTTAATAAATAATAAAATTTTGAAGCATAAATTTTACTCATATTTTATACTTAAAAAATATCTGTTACACTTACACCTATATTTATTTTTTGCAAGTTCAAATTATGATATTTTTTATTAAGGATATAATGAGCAAAAAAAGTTATAATCCATGTGACTCGGGGACATCTCAATTCTAAATAACTTCGCTAAGGGCATCTCCAACCGAATTGTATTTCATAGCGTAAAAAAAATAAAATAAAAAAAAAACATTATGTGTATTGATATGTTATCAAAAAATGTCTTGATCATGCACAAATCTCATGGCATTTTCAAGTTGGAAATTTTTTAAATTAAATTTGGGTTCATCTTAATTCCAATTTCAGCAAATTTATAGTCAAATTGAACATCTCAAAGAGACGAACCTAACAACATAAAAATCGGTCCAAACCGAGCCGAAATGGGTCCAAATCGAGGGCCTAAACCACATTCAGATGGTTCAAAGCATTATTAGGATGACAAAATGATATCCAAATATAGCATGCTTATAGTCAAATCGAGCGGCTCGGCGAGTCGAATCCAACGAGCCCAAAATCACTTAATTCCAACATCGTTAAGGCACATAAACAGTTGAAAAACTCTCTATGATCGGGGGAATCACACGAGCAATCTGATTGAGTATTCCGAAGCTGCCCTATATCTTCTTTATATTTACGGGGTGTGCCACTCATGAAAATCTATAAATAGACCCTCACTCTCTACATGAAGGGACATTGGCTAGAGATTAGAGACTGAAGCTTCAAGAGCTCTAGCACCACTGCCCCGTCGCCAATTGCAGCCGGACTTCCACCAGGTCACCAACCACCCCCGAACTTTGGCTCGGTCGCCGTCGGACCACCGCCCGGCCGCCGGACTTCCATCCGGTTGCTGACTGGTGCAGAATTTCAGGACCTTGATTTGGACTCATTTGAGCTCGGATTGAGTCGAATCTAATGATGTTGGGTTCGTACTTTTGAGACATTTAGTTCGACTATAATTTTGTTGAAATCAAAGTTCATATGATCTCAGATTTAATTTTTTAAGTTTTCAACTTTATTTTGTTTCGAGATTTTTGACCGATCAAGATAGTTTTTTGATGATATATCACCGCTAAATCTCACTGTTTCATGGGGCGAATTATTACGTCCGGTCACCGGACGTCCGGACATCCAATCCGGACGCGCCATGTCATCCGAATACACTGGATCTCGGTGTATTTTGATGACGTGGCGCGTCTAAATTGGCGTCCGAATGAATCCGAATACCTGACGTAATAATTTGCCGTTCCACGGACTACAAACATTCGTCTGACATTCAGTTGGACATGGTCCAAATAATCTATTCAAGTTGTCAAATGGGAGTTTGTCTTCGGGAGGATCAGCATTAGGGCTCTTATTGTTGCCAATTTTTAAGATTTTGATAGTTGGAGAAGGAAGAAGGGGAGTGAACAGAGTAGTCTTTTTTGGTTGAGTAAAATGGATGACGATTGAATTGCTATATATGATAAGCTGATCATTTTTTTATGCTTCGTTTGGGACTGAATTCTTAATGTTTTTTTAAATTATCTTTAGAATACAAAATTTAAAATTTTTTATTAAAAATTTGTTTTAAAAAATTAGTAAGAAAGTCATCCCAAATAAAATCTTGGAGGGAAAGGTTGCTAATTCCCAGATTTTTAAATTTGTAATTAAAGTGAGTGTTATTTATAATGAAAAGTGATTTTCAACTTTATGAAAAGCGATTTTCAAACTCATTTTTATGTAAGCATAAACCGAATCAAACGAAGCCATATATAGAGTGATATTTGCGTAAGTTTCAATTACTTTAGGACTGTGGATCCCCTATTCCCCTTGTTTTACAATGGATGGATTGAGAGCAAAAGTAATATACCGAAAGTTTTGATTTTTTTTTTAATATCGGAAAAAATCCCATTAAAATTTCATTTGGGATAATTTTAGATCATCATTTTTTTTAATTAAATTTGATACGTCGTCAAAAAATTATCTTGATCGAGCACGAATCTCGTTGCAAAATCAGGTTGGAAACTTCCGAAATTAATTTGGAGACCATCTCAACTCCGATTTCAGCAAACTTATAGTCAAATTGAACATCTTGAAAATACAAACCCAACAACACAAAATTCGACTCAACCCAAGCCCAAATGAGTCCAAATTAAGGACCCGAATCGCTGTTGGAAGGTTCAAACCACAATTTGGGTTACCAAACGGTTTCCAAACATGACGTTCTTATACTCGAATCGAGCGGCTCGACGAGATGAATCCAACGAGCCCAAGATCGTCAAATTCCGACATCATTAAGGCCTTCAAATGTCTAATAAACTATACATAATCAAGGGATTCAATATCGGCCGTCCATCCAACCACTTCCAACATGCCCTTGATCCTCCATCTATTTACGGGCCATGCCATTCCCAAAATATATAAATAGAGCTCCCTCTCCTCTTGAAGAAGGACTCCCTAAGCCTAAGGAAAAAAGAGAGAGATCGGAGATCGCTCTTGCTTCCTAGCCTCCTCGACCACCACTGGAGTTTCATCGGACCACCGCCGGACCACCACATGAGGCCCTTACCTCCGCTGACGCCGTTGCTCCGCCGGATCACCACTTGAGGCCCTCACCTCCGCCGGACCACCAGCTGACGTCGTTGCTCCGTCGGACCACCACTTGAGGCCCTCACCTCCGCCGGACCACCGCTTGACTTCGTTGCTCCTTTGAACCACCACTTCAGGCCCTCACCTTCCTCGACCACCGCTGGACTTCCGCCGGACCACCACTTAAGGCCCTCACCTCCGCCGGACGATGCCTCTTAACGCCGTTGCTCCGTCGGACCATCACTTGAGGCCCTCACCTCCGTCGGACCATCGTCTGACGCTGTTGCTCCGCCAGACCACCACTTCAGGCCTTCACCTTCGCCGGACCACCGCCTGACGCCGTTGCACCGTCGGACCACCACCTAAGCCCCTCGCCTCTGTCGGACCACTGCCTGACGGCGTTCCTTCGTCAGACCACCACTTATGGCCCTGTGCTCCACCAGGCCACCACCTGAGGCCTGGACTCCCACCGGATCACCACCTGTGGCTCAAAGTCCCACCTGACCACCACCTTTTAAGGGGTTTCCACGTAAAAAATTAGTGTCTCTTATGAACGCTACACCTCTCTCTTATCTGATTGTGTACTGGATTTTCGTACAATGCTAAGATGTTAAACTATATATTTATCTACCGCCACGAATATTCCAGGACACAACAAAATTAAAAATAATTTTATCAAACATTAAAAAAATCGTCACAAAAGAATAATAATAATAATAAAAGCAATGTACAAAAGACTGTACGGATGATTCTTTCAATTTTGATCAATTTAGACCCATAATTCCTATAAATATTAAATGCTCATGCCCCCCTTTGTTCGGCAGCATTGAGCTATCCATTTATGTCTCGATTCATTTGAGTCAAATTAATATAAAAAAAAAGGATTTTTAATTTCAAATGTAATTAAATATATTTTTTATGTATTAATCATTCAAATTAAATTTAATAGTTATTGTTGTGTCATGGAATATTCACGACGATAGAAAAATATAAAGTTTAATGTCTTAGCTTTAAACGAAATCAAGTACACAATCAAATAAAAGAGATGGTTGAGCGCTCATAAAGAGACACCATAGTTTTTATATGGATACCCCTCAAAATGGGAAAAAAATTACAGGGCATGACCTAGTTTGAAAGAATTCATTAGTGTTTTCAGAAGATTATAAATTGGCTTTTTCTTAGGGGAAGGCCTTGGTTTGATATAAAAAATATATACATCATATGGAGTGCATTACATGGCGGGAATTGGAATAATTAGTATTTACATGTTCGTTTAGTCGGCATGACCATAACCAGCGGACGAAGGAGGTCGGAAAGACACTACATGAAATTCATCAATTACCGACGGTCTGGACCGGCGGTTCTCCAACCGCCGGTAATAACGGCGGTGTGACCGCTAGTTTTTATCTGCGGTTTAACCGGCAGTTATGTAAATTAAAGCTACTGAAAATAACTGCGATCCATAAACCGTTGGTTAACCTGCAGGCATTAAATCTTACTGGCGCGTTACCGGCGGCCACCGGTGTTAAGTAAATTATTTCAGGCAGTCTAAACTGCCGGAACACCACCGAAAAGTGTCCTAGAACAAGTCATCCTGAGCCTTCCATTTCATTTCATCGTCTGCTCCCTCTCTCCTGCGTGACGCTCACCCCCATCTCCTCCGCTCTTTCGCGATCGAGGCGTGCCCTCCGACTGTCGATGAGGTCCCTTCAGTCACCGAAAAGGTACTCCAAATGAAGATCTCGCCCCCACTGCATGGCCGAAGATCTCTCCCCGCTCGTGCACGAAACTGGCCTCCGAGGTTTGCATTTTTAGTTTTTTTTTTTTTTTAAGTTGTTTTTGCTATTTCGGTTAGATTACATAAGGGATCAGCCTTAAGCCAATATCTTTTTGCTTTATTCATGGATGTTCTCACTAGACATTTGTGAGAGGATGTACCTTGTTGTATGTTTTTTGCTGATGATATTCTTCTTGTTGATAAGACTAGATATGGAGTTGATGGTAAACTTGAATTATGGAGGTCAACCATAGAGGCTAAATGCTTTCGCTTGAGTAGATCAAAAACTAAATATATGAAGTGCAATTTTAGTAGTAATAGATCTAGTGAAGGGTTTGTGACTTTGGGCGATCAAGTCATTAATAAAAGTACACATTTTAGATATCTTAGATCTATGGTTCAGAGTGATAGTGAAATAGAAGGGGATATTATTAGCAGAATTCAAGTTGGATGGTTGAAATGGAAGAATGAATCGAGCTTGTTGTGTGATAAAAAAGTCCCCCTCAAACTTAAGGGAAAATTCTATAAGATGGTGGTGAGATCTGGAATGCTTTATGGTGTCGAATGTTGGTCATTAAAGGAGAAGCATAATATTAAGTTAAGTATTGTAGAGATGAGGGTGCTCAAATGGATGAGTGGCTTTACCCTTAGAGATATGATACAAAATGAGCATATACGTAAAAATGTTGGAGTACCTCCAGTGGATGATGAGATTAGAGAGTGTCGCCTTAGATGGTTTTGTCACATAAAACGACAACCTTTAGATGACACGATTAAAAAAGTTGAGATATTAGATTTGACTTATGTTAAAAAAGGTAGAGGTAGACCTAAGCATACTCGTCTCTGCAACACTTAACTTAGTATTATGCTTCCCTTTTAATGGCCAACATTCGGCACCATAAAATTATGAAGTTTCCCTTAGAAATAGGATACGAAATGAGCATATTCGTGATAAGGTTGGAGTAGCTCCAGTGAAATATAAGATTAGAGAGAGTCACTTTAGATGGTTTGATCACATTAAACAGAGGCCTTCTAATGACCCGGTAAGGAAAGTTGAGATATTAGATTTGACTTATGTTAAGAAAGGTAGAGGTAGACCTAAGCATCCTCATTTCTACAACACTTAACTTAGTATTATGCTTCTCTTTTAATGACCAACATTCGACACCATAAAATTATGAAGTTGTTTTTGCTTGGGTTGCGGGTTACCCAAATTTGTTTTCACTTATTGATTTGTTTTAATGATATATTTGTGATAATTATTGTGATTCACTATAGTGGCGGGTTACCCAAATTTGTTAAAATCGATGTATTTTTTGTGCAGGTTTAGAGTTTTCGGGTGAAAATCAATAAAATAGAGGAGATGTTGTCAATTTTTTTTCAAATGCTAAAGGTTTCCGACGGCCAACTGGTGGTTTGACCACCGAAAACTTCAATATCGTACGACTAATTATAGCCACCTAAAAACTACTAAAACTGCTAGTACATACCGGCGGTATGCCGACAGTGTCCGACGGTACACCGACGGTCTCACCACCCCGCAATTCCTTTGATTTTAATCACCGGGAAGTCGACGGTAACATCACCGGCGGTGTACCGGCGGTGAGAACTCATTCCCTTTCTGTTCCTCTCTGGCTTGGATTTTCCTCCCAGAATCGTCCGGGACGATAGAGAGATTGGCCAAGCGGATCTGCACTGTTCAAAATATCGTCCTGAGATAAGTTCTGGGAACCGTCCAGGACGATCCACTGTCTACGTTGTAATAACGATGATAATTATACCAGCAATCACGAGCGCTTTAACCGCCGGAACCTAACTGGCGGTAGTAACAGCCGAAAAATCGCCTGTGAAAAAACACCACCGGAAAAGGTTTTCTGCACTATTTTTACATGTATTTTTTAAACCGCCGACAAGCCGCCAGTGTTTTACAAAACTAGATGCCACCACCTGAGTCCCGGACTTCCGTCGGACCACAACTGGAGGCCCTCACCTCATTCGGACCACCACTTGAGGCCCGAACTTCTGCCGGACCACCACCTGAGGCCCAGACTTATGTCAGACCACCACTGGAGAACCTGTTCCCCACCAGGCCACCTCCTGACAATCAGAATTATGCTAAACCACTTCCGCCGAACCACCACTTGAGGCCCTTTGCTCCACCATGCCACTACCTGACTCCCCGGACTTCTACCGTGCCACCACCTGACGTCCATACTTCCACCAAACCACCACTTGAGGCCTTGTGCTCCACCAGACCACCACCTGATGCTCAAACTTCAGCTGGACCACCACTTGAGGCCCTGAGCTCTACTAGGCCACCACATGACGCTCGAACTTCTGTCATACCATTACTTGCGGCTCCGTGCTCCATCAGGCCACCACCTGACGCTCGGACTTTTGTCGGACCACAACTTGACGCCCAACGTTCTCCCAGAGTACCGCCCTTCTACTAAGGTCTTTCGGACCTCTGTCTCGCGTCGACTATGACCCTTCTAACCAAACAAACATGTCTATGTTGATTATTGTAACTCCCAACATGTAATGCGCTCTTCTCTTGGATGGCTCTCTTGAAGTCGTGTATACTCATCCTACAAAATTTAGTACAATATTAAGTAATATATATATATATATATATATATATATATATATATGAAAACATAAAAATTATAAATATATGAAAATCCGTTTTACTTTTAGAGTGATTTATACATATGCCACACAGTTTCCATGTATTTACATAGTTCATCCTTAAATTTCAATATTTATTTATAAAAATATTAAAACATTTAAATTACATAAAAGTATTATTAACATTATTTTCATATACATAAATTATGTTATTGAGAAAAAAAATTATGAGAAATTATTTTGTGTGGAGACCGTACGCAGAATGTCATCCGGAGACAAGCCATAATGAGTCACGTCAGCAGTAGTGTGTCATGGGACCAAACAATATCGTGTCGCGGTACCGAGCACATGGATGATGTGACACATTTTGGTAGATCTACAGATAAAGTTCAATATCTGCACAAAATAATTAATCGAACTACTGAGGCAGTTGGTTCAAATAAAAATGGTTCCGGTTGTGCATCTTATTTTAATCTATTGATTACAAATTTTGACTATCAAATAACTCTCCTTGGTCTATTGGTTGAGAGCTTAGGCTTCCAACTAAGAGGTTGAGGATTCGAGTCTATGTGTTTGCCTTAAATGGCCTAAATGTCCAAAAAAAAAAAGTTTTAATTTAAAACTTTTTTTTGTGATGTGTGCGAGTTTTAATAATTGGCGTAAATGGTAAAAAAAAAAAAAGTTTTCGGTCTTGTTTTTGCTTTTTATATTTTAGAATTGATAGGCGATTTTAAGCTACATAACTGGAACGGCCTTGCTCCATACACGGATCCTCTCACACATGTCTACGACTTACGCGGCAAAGCGTTGCCCTCTTCTCTGCTTACAGTCTTCAAGAAGGAGCTCTGAGATGCCTTCAGTCAGGCGAAGAAGGCTACAAACGAAAAGTTCCAACGGCTATCCTCTGCATTTTCATCTGGAAATCAATCTTATTATCCATTTCCGAAATCGTCAAGGTAAGATCGAATGGATTTGCATTCATTCTTTCCTTAGTGTTGATTCGTTATCATCTCTTCCGCATTCCTTTAGCCCTAATTTTTAAGCCTTTCATAATGCCGGAAAAATCGGAACGTGGCTATTTTCTTTGCGAGGAGGTGTTTAGATTCTTTCCACTGCCATGGGTTGTTAGAGTTTTTTGAAGAACAATTTCTTGGAGGGGGGACATTATTGATATTTCTGTAAGGGTGTTGTTTTTTGGTTTAGGGTTTGAGGGTGGTTTGTTTGCTAGTGCGTTGTTGTAGAATGCAAATACGCGTGGCTTCTCCGTGTTTGTGATTTTTAGATTTTACTTTGAAGGATCAGATTAACAGATGCGAAAATGTTCCTCCTGACATGCATGTGTTGGGGATGAAAATGTCCAAGTCCATGTTAATTTGCACTTTGTAGTGAGATATTTGAATACTAGGACATGAAGCAAATTTTTTATTTTCTGGTTATAGGAGTTGCATAGAATGCTATGTTTGATTCATGGTGCCTTTAGACTTTATAGATTTATTTGGGGGAGCTGTAGTTTTTTTTAAGAGTAGTTACAGAGCTATTACGAGAATTTTTTTTTAAACTTTATTGAATATTATAAACTTTTTTTTTTTAAATCGAGTGGCAGATTTTTTACTACTTCACACTCTAATAGTTCTTGTTGTAAAAAATAACTATCTATCACAAAATTTTCTAAAAAAGAAGCGAAAGAGGTGCAACATGCTATGATCCTTCTTTATACACGGTATTGAAGAAATACATCCACTGCACTGAATGCGATTTACAGATGTTGAAGTTTGTTTCTCTCAGGAAAAATGAATTATAATTGTGGCACTTGTATTGGTTTCAGGCAAAATGTAATCTTATTTTCTATTTTGGTGGTCTTAGAGGTAAGATGCTACTATCTTTTTTCATTCTATAGAACAGTTTATCTTCGCAACTGTGTTGCACTTTCTTGTTTGCGTGCAAGCATATGCAGGGAATTTTGCATCTAAATGATATTAAAAGAAGATTTGTACGAGAATTAACTTTTGTGCACCTGATTTACCCATTATATCTTAAATGATAAGATTGGTAATCATAGTAATGTTGGGTTTATTTAGGAAAGCTTTTACACAACTTCACACATCAATGCTATAATTTAATTTTCCTATAACTTTTTTGTTATTTTTATAAAATTTCTATAGCGAGAATGAGCTTTTAGATAATCAAATTTGTTAAAATGGGATAGTTGGAAGAAAGTTGTTTGGTTTTTTTGGGAGAAAAAATTTATAATACTCACACCAGCTTTAAAAAATTATAATTGTTCTCATAATAGTTCACAACTAATTTTATAGACAGTTGCAACTGTCCCAATCATAATTGTACCCATCAGACTTGTAGGCTGATTGTGAGCCATGGCTGCATCACTTCCGCTTTCCTTCCCTTCCATATCTCATCTCGCTTGCCAATGCAGAAAAGAGATACTTACATTTGTCTTTGTAGTTTGTTTCTCTCTGAAAATGAGTTATAATTGTGGCACTTGTAGTAAAAATGTAATATTGTTTTCTTATTTTTGTGGTCTTAGAAGTACTCTGCAACTATGTTTTTTCATTGTACAAAATAGTTTTATCTTCGTGATTGTGCTGCACTTTCTTGTTTGCCTGCAAGCATATGCAGGGCAATTTGTATCTAAATGATATTAAAATAAAGATTTGTATGAGAATTAACTTTTGTGCACCTGATTTAACCATTATCTCTTAATTGATAAGATTGTTAATCATATTAATGTTGGGTTTATTCAGGAAAGCATTTTCTCAACTTCACACATAAATGCTAAAATTTAATTTGCCTATAATTTTTTTGTTATTTCTGTAAAATTTCTATAGCTAGAATGAGCTTTTTCATAATCAAATTCGTTAGAATATGATTGTTGGAAGGAAGTTTTGATTTTTTAAGGGAAAAAAATTATAGTACTCAACAATTTTAAAAAACAGTAACTGTTTTCATAATGATTCACAACTAATTTTACAGACTGTTGCAACTGTCCCAATCATACTTGTACCCATCAGACGTGTATGTTTATTGTGAGTCAGGGTTGCATTGCTTCCACTTTCCTTCCCTTCCATATCTTATCTCGCTTGCCAATGCAGAAAAAGGGATAACTTACACTTGTCTTTGCCACTACTCGCCCCTGCACTAAGATCTAAGTTCAGCTCTTAATGCATGACAAAATTAATTGTTACATCTCTTTTTAAAAGATTATTTTTGAACAAAAAAAAAAAAAGACTTTCAATTGCTAGATTGCGCTTTATTTCAATACTATGCTGCGTGCTATTACTTGGCTTGAAGATCCCTTATGAAAAAAATATATCAAATGCAAGAGTATACATTCTCTTATTTATCCCTCATATAGATTTTAATCAATGTATTGTTCTTTAAGATTTCCTGTTTTGAAAGAGTTCTCGTATTAGGTTTGTCTTTCTTCTAGCATTTGCTCATATTGCACGTACTCCTATTGATGCACCCCTAATGAAGCAGCTCCTTTATGTTTATCATACAGGATGGCGCATGAATCCAGCTTGAAGGACACTAGTTCAATCCAGGGCACCGGTGAAAGTTCAGACTCAAGTTTTGAGATCAAAATCAAAACTCTCGATTTCCAAACACATTCCTTCCGTGTGAATAAAAATGTAGATTTTCTCTAGCGCTCCTTTAATTGATACTCATATCAAATACTTATGTAGATATTCATTGCAAACTAATTCTTTTTTAATTGATTAATTTTGTTAAGACAAAATAATTTGTGTGATGGCATGAAGCCTAGCAAAACTCTGCTGTATGCATAACCTTTTTTTCATACAAAAAATGAAAATTCAATCAATGGACGAGTTAAAGAAAATGCTAATTTTTATTTATGTTTAACTTTGATAGAATTTCAATTGACTTTTAACTATTATATTGATTTTCTGATGTTCACGGTGTGCCATCTTCCCCTGTTATTTTTCTCTCCCCACCATTGTTATCTTTGTAGATTAAGTTTGTAGAATTTGATTTATTTTCTTGAGAGAATTGCCCGTCTGATGCAATTTGTATTTATAACCTACTTTATCTTGTGCTTCATAGGGCATGCTTGGATAGTTGTGCCAGCTTAAATTTTGCTGATCGACTTTATTGTCTTTATGTTTTAAGTTTATGTTTCAAATGCAGCTATTTGTTTCCACGCGTTATATGCATAGTAATTCCATATCAATGCAACTTTTATTGTGGTTTTGTTATCTTCATGACAGTTTAGCTTGCACGCAACGGCTATTTTTTTCTAATTACCGATAGATTACTTTATATCGCCACTATTGCTCATTTTGTATGATTTGTTACGGTATTAATTAATGGAATTTTGCAGATGCCCATATTAGCTTTGAGGGAGGAGGTAGTGACTAAAATTGGCGTTCCCTTGGAAAAACAGCGGCTACTCTATAAAGGGAAGGTTCTCAAGGATCACCAATTGCTATCGGAGCTCAGTATCCTACTGATCTTCTATTTGTATTATCCTTTCATCTTTTTCATGTTTTTTTTTTCTTAGTTTAGGACCTCATCCATGATCTACATGTATTTCTGTACTTGTTTTTTAAAGTTATTTTTCAAGTACACACTTTTGAAAACTAATGTCTCAGCCTCTCTGGACCTTATCCATTTATTCTAATTTAGTGTTGTTCGAGATGTTAGATATAATTTATTACAATTTTTTTTTTTAAATTTCTATCCTTATAATCTTTTGTCTACCCTTTCTAATTTTTTTCCTTAATTTAATTTACCTATTTTATTAGTTCATCTACTACTCTCAAATGTCCATGCCCAAACAACTTAAGCCTATATTCACACAAAGATATTTATCTATTCTTAGTATACATATAAGCTAATTGTATGTTGGTGTTAGAAAAGATAGAAGAAAAGAAGAGAGAAAAAGTTGGACTACTTGTTTGATTCAATTGGCTAGAATTTGGCCTTATAAACTGAGGGTTATAAAAGTGAAAATAGGGAAGACATTAACGCATTCAAGCAAGGAAGGAAATATGAAATATTACAGCAGAGTTAATTGAAAAATTACCGAATGCATTTGATAGAATCCCTTTAATTAGCCCTAAAATAGTCGCATGCCACCTGCCTTCCATTCCAATCCCTAGATAATAGCTAGAATTTCCAAATCCAGGGAAGCAACGCCAGCTGATTTTTCTGTGGGAATCCGCATGCTGTCCTCAATTGCACCAGCCAAGGGAGGACTTTAAACTGCCAGCCCAAACCTGCCATTTATAAGTTGGATTTCTATCTCGATAAAACTCAGAGGTATGATGGAAGCTAATTATATTTTTTGTTTATTTTTTTGCATTGTGCGGCAATTTGTATTCAGCCATTTTGGTTATTAATGGTGGTATTAATTATTGGTGAGAATATTCTAAATGTAGTTATGCTCCTCAAATTGGATTATAAGATAGCTTAAAATGTCAATTTTCGATGGTGATGGATGGACTATTGCAGCATAGACTTGAGGAAGAATAGATACTTACTGGAGCTAACATAAACTAACATACAGATTCTAGTAAGATTCACTATGAGAATATTCATGGCGGGTATGAAATACGATATAGAAATGCAATTGAAAAAGCTATTGTTGATTTCATGATAGCGATTGTAATAGTTTTGAGAAATGAGAATAATATTTGATTACTTATAAAAAAGGAACAACCAAATTACAAGTAAACCTCTTTTATAACTTAGAAGTATTTGTTTTGCAAGTATTGTAAGGTAGTTGCAAAAGATAGTTTGATTAGACAACACAGAGTAATGTTTTGGATATATATATAGGAGTGTATATTAAACTATCAAAGGAAATGATACCTTGGTATAAGATGGTAGAATTTAAAATAAGAGAAATTAAATAGTTCAAAAGAGGTTGCTAAGAGTGGAAAATTAGAATTGTTTAGTTGAGTCAAATGTAATAATATGAAATAAAATGACCAAGTCCTTTATGAAGATCATTGTCAAAGTTGTACGACAATTCAGAAACAAATTGTATACTAAGAAAGAAGCTTAATGGAGGAGCGAGCAGGCACGCATAGGGCTGCAAATGAACCGAGTCGAGCCGAGTATGTGAGTGTTCATGTTTGTGTTCATTTAATATCAAGTTGTTCAAGTTTGGTTCATGTTTGTTCGAGCTTTATTGTTTGTGTTCATGTTTGGTTCATTTAAATTAACGAGTGTTCATGTTCGGTTCATGTTCAGTTCATGTTCGTTCGTTTAGTGCTTATCGAGCTTTAAACAAACAAACATGAACGAGCTATAAGCAAGCTCTACTTTTAGATGTTCATTAACTTAACAAACGAGTTTTATCGAGCTTCCTAAAAAATGATTACATCGAGCATGTTCGCGAACATATTTAATGAATTTTTTTTAACTATCAAACAAAAACTTTCATGAACATATCTATGAACAAACACATTTATAATAAAAGCAATTGTCTATGTAACAAAATCAATGATTTATAAGCAAATTCTATCTTCACAAAATTTTCCTAACAGCATCATTAATAAAGACAATGATTTATAAATAAATAACCAAATAAAGCTACAATTACTTAGACAACAGTTAAGTAATATTTGATACCTGCAACACTCACATGAATCGAGCTTTTATTGAGCTTAATGTCGAGCTTGTTCACGAACTTCAAATGATGTTGTTCACGAACATAAATGAGCCGAACGCATTAGTGTTCAAGTTTGTTTATTTAAGAAACGAGTATTTAAAATATTGTTCAAGTTTGTTTGTTAAGTTAATTAAACGATCACAAACGAGCTTTAATCGAACCGAACAACGAGTAGCTTATCGAACGTTTGGTTCGCTTGCAGCCCTAGGCACGCAAATAATTAAGAAAAAGAAATATTCTTTTAATGAATGACAAAAATTTGATTATTGTATAATAGGGTTATAACAATTTTAAAAGGCTCAAGTCTTTCAAAGAGTTGGCTAGCAAAATAAAAGTTATAGATTTTGATAATTTATATAATAGGCCTAAGTACTAAAGAAAGGAGAAAATTAGATATATATACTACTTAAGACAAAAAATAAGAGATCTATGAACTTTAATCAAGTTGATATATTTAAAATGAAGATAATAAGACCATAGTAAAAAAATGGATATAAAAGGAGAGGTGAAAATGCTATTTTGAAAACTTATTAAATAGGAGCTTGAAAAATATATTTTGCAGGAGTATGATAAACAAAGCAATGAAATATATTATAGATTGATCTAACAATATTTAAGTGGAGGAAGAAATGCATAAATTTAAAGCTTTAGGTCCAAATATATTTGAAGACTAAAAGGAAGAATTTTGTGGTTTGATTAATAAGTTTTTTTTTAATAGAATTTTGAAAATTGAGAGGATGCGAGATACTTAGAGAAGCATTTTAGTAACGGTATTTAAGAAATAAAGGAAATGGTCTACTTTGCTATAAATATAGATGGATCAAACTTATGAGTCATGAAAGAAAATTAGAGAATACTAGTACATATGCTTAAAAAATAACATTGTTTTCACTTTTGAGGCGTTGATTTAAATTTTGGGGTTTGGATCGAATTTGGTAGAAACAAATTCGAAACTCATTAATATTTTTATTTCAACTAGTTTTATAAGTTTCCTTTATGGTTTCAACTGAAATATAAGTTTTAAACTAAATTTTGTAAAAACTTTTAGAGTGATTGTGAAAACTCTACTAAAACTTTTTCATTAAGTTACCACCAAGTGTCAAGTGAGTTGCAACATGAACCCTGATTCGATAAACCTCTTTGGTTCATATTTTAAATCAAAACTGAATCTCGAAATTAATAAAAACATCAAAACTTCCAAAACCTAAATTATCTTTATTGATTGAAATTGAATTTGCAACTGATATATAGATAATGACAATTATGATAGTTTCAAGGATTTTTTTTTCATACCAGGAAGGTTTAGTGTGAAATCAATTTTTTGCATTAGACAATTAATGAAAAAATATACATGGCATAAAAAGAATATTCATATTTTTTTATTAATCTTGAGAAAGCAATCAAAACATGCATCATGAAAATTGAGTTTGTCCGCATCAAGGAATAAATACGTGTCAAAGGTATTTTTAAATTAATAAAGATATGCATGATGCAACGCTCATTAGTATTATAAGAAACTGTGAAGAGACTAAAGAAATTTTCAATATAATAAGATTCGATCAATGATCATCACAAAGTTAATATATATATTTTTTATTATGGATGTGCTCATTAGGGATAGTTAAAGTGATGTGTCTTTGTAGATGATAATTCTAATTGATGAAACATCTGATGAGACAAATTAAATGTTAGAAAAATGATGAAAATATTTAGAAGATAAAGCTTGGAATAATTAGAACAAAGATTGCACAATATGAAATTTTAGTGGATATGATATTAATTTTTTTAAAATTAATATTATTATTAGCTAACTAAATATGCTAGGTTTACGTATATTAGGTCTATTATCCAAAATAATAGGGATATAAATAAGCATATAACGTTTAGAGTTAATGTTGGGTGTTTAAATTATAAAAATACCGCAAGAATTTAATGTGATAAAAGGTTATTATGGAGACTTAAGAGTAAATTCTCTAAATATAATTACATCTACAATTTTATATCAATTAGAGTGTTAAGCTGTAAAAAAGTTGTGAACAACAACAACATTAACAACATCAAGCCTTTGTCCCACTACGTGGGGTCGGCTACATGAATCCTTTTTCTCCACTGTGTCCTGTTAAAAGTCAAATTCTCGTTTACATCTAATAAAGAAAGATCATTTCTAATATTTTTTAACCAAGTCTTTTTAGGTCTACCTCTACCTTTCTTAACATAAATCAAATCTAATACCTCTACTTCCTAACCGAGTCATCGGAAGGCCGCCGTTTTATGTGACCAAACCATCTAAGGAGACTCTCTCTAACGGTAAAGCCACTCATCCGCCTGAGCATCCTCATCTATACAACACTTAACTTAGTATTATGCTTCTTTTTTAATAGCCAACATTCGGCACCATAAAACATTGCAGGTCTCACCACCATCTTATAGAATTTTCCCTTAAGTTTGAGGGGAACTTTCCTATCACACAAAAAGCTCAATGCATTCCTCAACTTCAACCATCCAACTTGAATTCTGCTGATAATATCCCCAACTATTTCACCACCACCTTGAATAATAGATCCAAGATATCTAAAATGTGTACTCTTATTAATGACTTGATCGCCCAAAGTCACAATCCCCTCACTGGGTCTATTACTACTAAAATTACACTCAATATATTCAGTTTTAGATCTACTCAAGTGAAAACCTTTAGACTTTAAGGTTTTCCTCCATAATTCAAGCTGACCTTGAACTCCTCTTGTCTTATCAACAAGAAGAATATCATCAACAAAAAGCATATACCAAGGTACATCCTCTTGCATATGTCTAGTGAGAACA